CCCTTCCAGCCCTAACATCTATGAAATCTATGAAATATAGCATATCACACAGCACGAAGGCAGCAATGCAAGCAAGACAGGCCTTCAGACGTCTGTGGAAAACTATCAGCTTCCTAAATGTGACCTAGCAGTGCCTACACCCACTAAGTCAATTGGAGAATCAGTGAGAGTGACTTCCTATTCAGTGGGGAGTTTACTGACTAGAGGCGCTACAGCTCAGTCCAAACCTTCATTTGCCCTTTTGGAACTGAGTGCCTACCCTGCTGGAACCCTTTTCTTACCCAGGGGACAGGTACAGCACAGACCTACCTTCCCCCACACAGTTCATTTGGTCCCACACAGCCTGTAAAACAAGCAAGCAAAGGAAGGGGACAGTGGGACAGCTGCTAGGATGGTTTCTGAAGTGTGGATACCTGTTCACCAGGCACCTGAAACCAGTCACCATTTCCTTCAGGAAGTCACAGAACCACAGAGTTGGAAGACATCTCAAGTGTCATCTAGTCCAACTCCCTGCACAGTAGCAGGAAAGAGCTCTGTATAGATAGCATCCCACCCAGTGCTCCCATTGGAGACGAACTGTTAAAGCCACAGGTTCACCAAATTTTCTTAGCGTGGCTTGTACTTCTTTACAAGGATCACTCCATGCCTCCTATCTGGTGTAACCCAACACCCATCCTTTCCCCCTCCACTCCCCACAAACTGCTCCCGTTTTCTACATAACAGTAAACAGAATATTTAATATGTCAGTAGTTTTTTTATACACACACACACAATTTGGCAGCTGGTGAAGGTGTCATCATTTTACAGCACCCGCATACGGTCAGCACATTTCCTGGTTAGACACCCATTTTAGCCATGTAGCTCACAACAAAGAATGTAGCCTGTGTTGTGAGAAACATGCAGTCATCAAAGCAGCCAAGAGACTGTATCTGGTACAATTGTGTTTCTCGAGCCATATGATGCACCTGACACTTTGCAGAGACCTCCTGTCCCTGAGGATTTTATGCTGTAGTGTAGGAGTAGATAATTATTTTGGCTGGAGGGCCGCTTAGTGAGTTTTGGTGAGCTGTTGACAGCCACCTATGTAAAATTAATGGTGAAGATATCATTTTAACAAATCATAGAAAAAAACCCAAATCACATGCTAAAAATCGAACATTATGAAATATTTTAATTTTATTTCAAAGAATAAATTTTGTCTTGATTTTTTTTTTTTAGTAGTATACATAGAGGTGATTGTGTAATAGCTCAGAATAAAGTGTCTCTCTCAAGGGAACCAAAACCAGCCAGCAGGAAACCAGGCCAAGGGAGAATGCTCCCACCCCACCAGAGCCCTGCCTTCCAGGGAAGATCTTAGAAAAGTTTATTAAAGAGGTCATCCT